CCTGGGAATTCCAGGTGCTGTAAGCTTTAGCGTTTTCTTCACTACTTGTCTAATACACTGGCCTATAGAGTGGCTGATCTTTAAATAGCCCACTCTTTGGGGTAGTCCCCGCTTATGGCCATACCACCCTGTCTTCGCCCGATCTCGTCTGATCTTGGAAGCTAAGCAGGGTCGGGCCTGGTTAGTACTTGGATGGGAGACCGCCTGGGAATACCAGGTGCTGTAAGCTTTAGCGTTTTCTTCAGTACTTAGCTAATACACTGGCCTATAGAGTGTTTGATCTTTCAATAGCCCACTCTTTGGGGCAACTTCTGCTTACGGCCTTACCACCCTATCTGCGCCTGATCTTGTTTGATCTCGGAAGCTAAGCAGGGTTGGGCCTGTTTAGTACTTGGATGGGAGACTGCCTGGGAATACCAGTGTGCAAAAGGCTCATTAATGCAGACGCACAGAAGCGCTCTTTTCTCTATCGCGGGGACTTTTATTTTGGCGGAATGCCGTTTCATTCTGTGGAGTGCTTCACAGCGCCGCGCAATCGCAATCTAGTATTGCATCAGCCATCATTGGTCCTCAGCGGGAATGAGCCATGCGATTCCGTTACAAACGGCAATCATACGATTATCTTTATGTTCCTTTGAGTGTTTAAGTTTGTGTGCGTCCAGAGAGAAAGTGAGTATTGTAACTTTAACTGTTATTCAAGCGGAGTTGATTGCTGTTTACTGAATATATATGTTTAAGATATGTGACTATACAAAATGGATGCTAGTGTGAAGTATAGTAACATTTGAGTTCTCACTCAGTGTAAATGTAGTAATGTAAGCTGTTAATGATGTTCCATTATAATAATGTTAGTTTCAAATGCTACATTGTGTGATGTTTGGGGGAAGCCAGTTGCTTCGTAATGCCATTCATGTTGTGATGGATGTGAGCATATAAATGTTGTGGATTGTAATAATAAGAACCATTGGTTGTTAGAATGTATCTTTATTTGTTTGTTGCAGACCACACCCACATACATGAGTGTATGCTGACCCGTCAAAGGACATAAGGTTCAAGATGATACTGCTCTGCATCAGTATTAATGCTCATCTATAATATGTGCACAATCTGAGAACTGGATAATGCACTTCGCTATAACCTGGCTCCCCCTCTGCATATGTTTGTAACAATAAATCTGTTGAACTCGATTCCTTCTCCGGCTTTGGTGTTCTAACCGGCACACACGGATCAACTCCACCTACTTAGGAATAGCTAGCACCTTACAGTCCTTAGCCCCTCAGCTACAGCACTTGCAGAAAAAAATTATTTGATAGTGCTCACAAACTGTATTTTAATGCAGCCAAATTCTCAATAAAGCTGTTTTCACTGGTATATTTTTCTGTTTCTGTTGTAAGACAATGGGATGAATATGAAATAGTGACTAAAAAGCGGCCCATACCAGCTCTCTGTTATGTTAATCTGCACAAAAATCCTGATTCATAATTACAACATTGTCTAATGAAATCAAATACACATAAGATAAAGACAATGGCTGTGCTGTGATTTTGGCTATATTTGCATGTAAAATAGAGTTTGAAGCGACAGAATATCTTTTTTAACTGAAAGCGCTGCAGATATTTATTAAACAAAAGACAAGTTATTTCGAGTCATTTAACTCAAGTCCGAGTCAAGTCTCAAGTCATGAATATCAAGTCAAAGTCAAGGCAAGTCTTTTATGAATATTTGTCAAGCAAGTCTCTCAAGCCATACAATTTGCGACTTAAGTCTGACTCGAGTCAAGTCATGTGACTCAAGTCCCCCACCTCTGGTCTCTAGCATGGTGTTTTGCATATGAAACTCGATTGGGTGTTCAAGAGAAGAATCTTCAAGATTCTTATAATACTATATGTCACAGAGTTAGCAAAATGTCATGTAAATCAACAAATAGGAAACGTAATTTGGAGCTCTTAGATACCAAACATGTTATGGGTGAGGTTATATTAACTAGTGATCTATCATAATACATGCATAAAAGAGTATGCAATACAAAATACAGTATCCAAGAACAGTAATAATATACACAAGGACCTGAGGATATGCATGTTCATTCAAAGAAAGGTTTGTCTATGAATTAATTAAAGAACAGTCAATTTCAATGGGCATTGTGTGTCTTTCTTATGAGGAAAATGAGTGAGAGTTGCTTTGCCTGCATTCCTTTGAGCAATAAAATCATTATCAGATGATTTGTCTTTGGTTGCCATGGAACCAGAGGCCTGTTCTGCCTTTTAGAGGTGTTAGTTGCATTTCGGGGGAATGGTCCATAGACCCTCATAGTTGGCTTGTTGGTTGGGTGAGGGGTGTTAGGGATTATTTGTTGAATATAACAAATAATTGTGTGTCTTATTGTTCCACACGCTACAAAACATTCAGGAGTGCAGAAAATTGTCAATGCTGTCCTGTGATTTATCAGCTTAAAAACTGAAAAGTTACAGCATATTGTTTCTGTTTCTGAAGTAACTACAACCCTCTTCGCCATAGTAGAGAGATGCTGCACAGACAAGTAAGTTAAACAGTCATTTAATATAGACGTGGGCTAATTGTAGTGTTCCAATAAATCATGTTAAAACTATTCTCCTAGTATTGTGTATTTATTTTTAGTTTAATGTAAGTTCTGAACAGAACTTTGTGATATTTCAAAACATACTGAAATATTTTGTCATGGAGCAAAGGCGGAGCGGTGTTTCTGATCAGTGGAGTGCGGAGTGGGAAATGCTGAACCCGCAGCAGAGCTGGAGCAGAGTGATTATTGAATGCATGGAGTGTGGAGGGGAAATTGTTGCCACTCCACTCTGCTCACATACTCTGGTACATACGTCTTCTCTTCTGGACCTCCCAGCGGAGCAGGTTTGGAGAGAGTTGCTTGGCGAATGTCCTCGTCGATCGACCATCGGATGGGGCTGACGACGACAAGGGCTGGATGGAGGATAGTTTCAGGTAAAACCTGTCAGTCGACTGATGGGTAGAGATGTGATAGCTCGGCATCAGCTCGGGTGTTTTTGGTCCCAGGTCGGTATGTCACCGTAGTGAAAACGAGTGAAGAACAGTGCCCACCAGGCTTGTCTGGGGTTCAACCATTTGGCATCTCGCAGATATTCCAGGTTACAATGGTCAGTTATTACTTTGAAAGATGAACTGCTACCTCCAGCCAATGCCTCCACTCTTCCAGGGCAAGTTTAATGGTGAGCAGCTCACGATTACTGATATCATAATTTTGCTCCGCTGGGGAACGTTTTCGGGAGAAATAAGCACATTGATGTAACCTCGGAGGAGTTGTGAAAGCACCGCACCTACTCCAACTGTAGAAGCATCCACCTCCACGAACAATGGTTTCTGTGGATCTGGATGGACGACTGTAGAAGCGGAGCTGAAAGCCTTCTTCAGCTGAGTGAAGGAGTGGATGGCTTCCAGGGTCCAGGACAGGGACTTGGGCTTGTTGCGGAGCATGGAAGTCAATGGAACAGTGAGATGGCTGAAATGGTATATGAAGCGGCGATAGAAATGAGCAAATCCTAAGAAACGTTGGAGTTCCTTGATTAAGGATGGTTGAGGCCAGTCCATTACAGCTTGTACCTTCTTATCATCCATTTTAATGCCTTAGGATTTGATGACATACCTGAGGAACTGGATGGTGGTACAGTGGAACTCGCACTTCTCTAGCTTGAGATAAAGATGGTGATTTCTCAGCTTCTGGAGGACCTGCTCAACGTGATGGTGATGTTCTGCCAAGTTCTGTGAGTAAATAAGGATATCATCTATGTGCGGGGGTGGGTTAGGGAGTTAGGTTAATATATTGTACTTTTATTTTATTTTATTTTGGTTAGGGTTTAGGAAAGAGGTCTTAAAATAAGGAAGTTTTGTTTATTATTTTGGCCTGGTCATCTCCTGAAGTAAATTCCCTATTTATTTATTTTGACGGTCATTAAAAACCCTCAAAAGAATCCCAGCTTCCTCTCTCTCTTTTCATGTTGCGTCCTTTACCCCGAGATGGGGCGAATCAGTAGACAATGATGAAGCCAGGGGTGTAGATTACGCGGGGGACGCGGGGGACGTGTCCCCCCCCACTTTTAATATCACGTAAATTCGTCCCCCGCACTTTTTCGGGCAAGTGTGTTCACATGGAGGTTTTCAAGAGCCGGTGTGAATAAATATACATTTAAATTCAAAGAGACAGGATAGTATGTGCATGATCTGATGTTTTATTCGGACACAGAGGCCTGTTGGAGTGATGAAAGCCGTATTCCACTCATCTGCCTTGCGAATTCGAATGAGGTTATAGGCACTTCGAAGGTCCAACTTAGAGAAGATGCAAGCTCCACGGAGTTCCTCAAGGGCAGCTGGAACTAGAGGAAGAGGATATGTATATTTGACCATTTGGGCATTGAGTGCACAATAATCTATGCATGGCCGCAAGCCCCCGTCCTTTTTTCCCACAAAGAAGAAGCTAGATTTGGCTGGAGATGTTATTATTTATTATGAATTATTATTTTAGTTAAACACGGCATATTTGTTTAGTGATAACTATGAAAAAAAAGATAAACAAAACCGTAAAACCATAAACAAAACGGTCTTTGTTCTGGTTCAAGCTCCGCCTACTTCCGGTTTTATCATTATTGATAAACAGATACAGATCTGTTTTATTACAGATACAGATAATAATTTTGTGATTGTTACAGATACAAATACTGGCTTCGCTGCACAACCCTAGTTTTAAACATTAAATGTTAACTTGGCTTGCCATACCAGTAGTCTGCGCAGAGCTTTACTGATCTGAACACGACCGTTTTAACTCCATCAGGCGCACAAAAACTAAAAACTACATGTATCGTTTTTATACTAATTGATGCATTTAACGAACGAATACATACCAAATCCAAGTGCTGTTGTATTAATAGTGTAGGATCAGATGGTAGATTGCTACAAAGAATTAATCGCGCTCTTTGTTGTTATGGATGGCGTGTCTTAAAGTGAAATGCTTAAATTCGACATGCTCCATTCCTCTTTTTGGAAAAAAGAAACCGTGATATTATTTATTCTGTTTTTGTCGTCTGTCATCTGCGTCAAAATATCAGGTGAGTACATGTTTACGAAGATGAATTGATGCTGTGAAAAGCTCTAGTTAAATTCTTCAGACAGGTATGTTATGTGACGTAGGCTATATTTTCTGAAGTGAGGGACTCTTATTCTTATTTTTAATCTTCGTAAAACGTACTGTAAATTAATGTCAAGCTACCGTGGTGAGTTTAAATGCTATTAGAAAACATGGACATTCAATTGTGCATTTAAACATACATGTATTTCCTACGCGTATATTTTTAGAACAACCCCTAATCACGATAGCACACACAGCCTACATCACCGAGACTCTTTGACGTCTGCATTAATTGCATCTGCATGACGCAGTTTATAGAGTGTTTGCTCATCTGCAATACGATCGTTTCCTATTAGAAGTCAAATAGACGTTTAGAAAATGTCTTTCAGATGTTGATGATTTAGATTAGAATGCATGTAAAACAGACATCTTGCAGACGTATGTGTGCTATTTGGGTCCTAACCCCACCGAATTTCATTTTAACCTTTAAACACACAATGTGCATCACATGATACATAGGCTTGTTACTTTATATTCTTTTGTAGGAGAAATGAGAAATTATATGTAATTATTGTCATAGTCTGTTCTGAGTAGCGTAGTTCAAACCTAAAACCAACACAGCCGCTGGTGACATTTTGACTTTGTGGAACGTAATATATTCATCTTACTTTTCTTAAGTATACGATTTCTGTCCCTCCATTGACACAACTACCACTTTGACGCTTCAAAAAGTTCATAAAGAGATTGTAAAACTACTACATATGAATTGAGCGGTTTAGTTATTCACATATTTACATTGATCAGCAAATATAAACAGAAGCTCAGCTGTACATGCCTGACGCGCAAGAACAAACCTGGTTGGTTTTTCCGGAAACTCAAACTTGCTGTATAACACACGATAATGAAATGCATTCGTTCTCAGGTATCAAGCAAACATGCTGGAGTCTCCATTCACCATAACTGATAACTGCATTCAAGATGACAACACGTGATGTTGTACTCGAAGCTGTCCATAGCTGTTTTTCAATTTCAATAATGCAAAGCAGGGGCGTAGATTACGCGGGGGACATGTCCCCCCCACTTTTAATATCACGTAAATTCGTCCCCCGCACTTTTTTGGGCAAGTGTCTACAGCAATATAAGTGAAACCGATCAAAGTTACCCATCTTGAAGGACATCTCAATACTATAACTGCACCGCGAAGAGGCAAGGAACGAGGAGTGAGGAAGCTTTCAGAGGAGTTATGAGCAAGGATACACAGGTGTATCCTATACACGGAAGTCTTTCTTGTCGAAAAACCTGACACACGTATAAATTCTCCTCCCCCTTCACATCTGTCATAATTATTTGAATTTATATTTTACCTTTGCAGTTTACATAAACTATACTGTACACCTCATATATTTCAACGGGGCATCGTGCACTAAAATTTATTATGAATGTGTTAAATAACCAAACTTTAACAACATAAGGGCAGATCCCTTGAGCACAGCTAATGATGCTTTGAAGTGACACTTGATTGATCAAGTATATTCCAATATTCAAATAAGCTTTCCTTTGATTCATCCGCCCTTATTCTCTTTGCTTGCATCCTTCCCTTACAACCTAAGTGGGGTGGAGCTATGATGCGAGGAAAGGTAATGAGGATGCACAAATTAGAAATGAAAAGCACCCTAACAGTTCAATTCCTGCTTCCTCTATCAAGAAAACATCCGGGCATGTACAAGTACATGCATCCTCTGTACTTGTGTTCTCGAGTATTGGAATCGAACTTTGACCGTTGATGATGACGTAGTACGAGAGCCCCGAACATCCTAAACTCAAACCTTTTATACACTTACAGTTTACTACCCTTAATGTAAATGAAGTTGCTCCTGTCGTAACAGCTGTGCTCTGTATGCTAATGAAGTTCTGACACCTAATTGTCTGAGATGGTTCTCGGTGTCCGACACCTGCTCCCATTCTACAATTGGTCACCATTTGCTCAAGATGTGATCATCCCAAATGATCTAGAAACAACATAACTGTTGACTTTCATCTTCTCTATAATAATTAAGCCATTCTGGGAAAGGAGCATGATCAAACATCTGGGAATCTGGGTCGGGGCAGACTATAGTTTCTTACACCGCCGAGAAATATGGCTGCATGCATTAAGAACTACTACCACTGACAAAAGCCAAAGTCCCTTTCCAGAGTCATTTCACTTGGTGGACGTCTTGAGAAGTTTCACAACACCATTTAAATTTAAGGCTGTTTCTATGATATCTAGAGATTCTAACAACAGCTGCAGTGATGCTGTGATGCTGAAAGCAAGAACCTGTTTGGTGATTGATGTTTTTATTTGGAAGGTGTGGCATGCTTTAAAGCCACCATAGTAGTAGTTTAAATTTCTCCCATTCATTGTAAAAACAGTGACCCATCTGAACTATACACAATGTTGCTAAAACCCAATTACTTAGGTTTTTATGTGTAAGCTATATGTGTAGTATTGTAAGCTCTAGCCTTTAAGAGTATACATCATTTTACTACATTTTTTATAATCCATTCTCTTTCATAGAATTCTACTCTACCTCTACACTTCCAGGTTTTGCAGTTTAGTAAAATGTTTGTTAATTAATGTTTTTATGTATTTTCCAGGTGGAAAGGTTATTGGTCATGATACAACAGTCATATATGGAGAAAATGCCACTTTGTTGTGTCAGCTGACTGAAACGGATGATGATCTAACTCGTATTATATGGAAGAAAAAGACACGAGAAAAACTTGAAGAGAGCGTCTTCTTTGTCATTCGCCAAGGGGGCAAAACTGAACATAAGAATGGATTGGAGGACAGAGTACAATTTATTGGGAACTTTGCAGAGAAAAATGGATCAATTCAGCTGCTCAGAATGAGGCTTCTGGATGAAGGGATCTACACATGTACCTTCAACCTATACCCTAGTGGGCCATTAGAGACTGACATCAATGTCACCGTTTTTGGTAAGATGGCTTGTTCATATTATTCTATGGCATAATGCCTGCATATATCTCTGTGATTTGATTCCTAACAGTGATGGAACTCGGGGAGTTATTTAAAATATTTCATGCTTACTACCGGACTTTCCTCCTACAGAAATGGTTTGTGCTATGTGAAAACTGTAAAAATTAAATGAGTAAATGCTTTTAATTTTGAGAGGACCAAAAGCAGGCTGGGCTACTTTTCACTATTCATCGTTCACATTTAATGAAAACCAACCGTACAGTGCACCCAGATGGGACCATTACTGTTGTGTCCTACCTACTTGGTGTCCCATTAAAACATTTAAATAAGAAGAACATCCAGTGTGTGGTGAAACACAACACTCAAAAAGATGAACTTGTGCTGAACTACACAATAAACATCCACTGTAAGTACACATGTGGTGTATCAACCAACAGCTTGAATACAAATGACTGTTATGTACCTTTCATATAAAACCAAAACTTTATGTTTCAAGTGCATCTCTCTATTTGTAACAAAGGCTTGTTTTTTTAATAATTTAGAAAGATGATTTTTGATTGCGAAGAATGAATATTCAGTTATTACAGCTAATAAAAAATGGAGATGAAGATAACAATAACCAAAGACATAAGATAACATTTTTATATATATATATATTTTTTTTTTTTTTTT